GCGGCAGCTCACCGCGGGCAGCATGTCGGGGCGGCGGCACAGCGACGAGAACGACGGTGAGTGCCCTCGGCCTGGCCTCCGTGGCCCCGCCCGGGGGGAAGCCATGGTTTGGCTTCTTTGGGCTCCGAGTCTCATGGAAAGGGACGGCGAACCATAGAGGGAAGCACGGTGCGGGTGTGGCTGGGTTTAAAAAGCAACTGCTCCCTCCTCCTTTACTCTAGCCCCAAGTCCTTCAGTCTGATCTTGCGGAAAGGGGCCTGGTGAGCCCCTTGGAGAGACCCTGGTCTCCATGGACTCCGTGAGACTTGCTCCTTGGTTTTTTGCACCGCCGAGCTGGGAAGTCCACCGTGTCTAGGTTGCCGCCTCTTAAGGTACGGTGACAGGGAGCCACTGGTTCCACTGTTTTCTTTTCAACCTTCGAAGCTGCACCTGAGAAGGGCTTTCGGAAGACTTCCCGATGAAAAGAAACAAAGCGGTGGCCGAGACGTGGTGAATTGCGATCACAGTTCTGCTCCTGCAGCGGTCATTGATTTGCCTTTTTTCACATCTCTGGGAAAGAATTTTGCCCTTATTCACGGCAAAAAGGTCACGAATAAAAAGGCAGGTTATGTTAGATTTTGAACAGCCAATATGTACATTTCCGAATTCTTTTAGGCGAATATGCTGGAAGACTAACCAGAGAGCTGTGAGAAATTTAGACCAGGGCTCCCTATCTCCATTTGGATGGCCTGCTTCAGGAGATCATGGTGTTACCGTTAAAAACTAAGAATAATTTTGTTATTTTAAATAAAAACGTAAGCATTACAGTCAAGGAAAAAACACGAACACACACACAAAGTGAAATTTAGGGTAATTCTGCTGCTAATATCTTAGTACACTATTCCTTGGGAAAGAATATATCTTAGTGGTTAAGAGGCAAGATACTGGAACCACTGGGTTTGGATTTGGAGCTGACCCTACCATTTACTTTGTGATCTTGCCCAGTTTTTAGAACCTCTTGAAACAATCTGTGATGCGTGGAACTCCTTTTGAGTTTCCTGAGCATTAAGTGCAATAATACAGGTTACCAATGACTTATGATGATGTTTCCATGCTTTATCACCTATTAATATTTAAGAGGTGACCAACATTGGCAGATGCCTGCGTGTAAGAAAAAATTAAGTGATTAAGTTTCTCCATTAGGGACCAGCAGTTGGCGTAATGGCTATGTCGCTGAACTCCCATTTAGTCCACTGCAGTTCAAGTCTTGGACCTGGTGGCTTAAACTCATGCTGGGCGCATGTGTGTGCGTGCCCAAGATCCCAAGAGGAGAATGGAGGAGAAGGGATTGCAGCGTGGCCATCCTCCCTGGGGGGTGATTTCTTGCTTTCTGTCTCTCTGTTTCTCTCTGTCTTTCTGGCGAGTGCATGCACCCTATAGCAAAAGTTCTCCAAAAACAAACAAACAAAAAGTTTCTCCATTAACATGTTTCTCTCCTTGAACTTAGAGACAGTTAAAGGCAGAATCACTTGTATTGTTTTAGTAGTGAAACACAGGTTTTTCTAGGATGTGGTTTGATAGGAAATGCTGTCAACTTTCTCATCTGACACAGGAGGGGCTAGAGATCCGATGTAATTTACATGGAGACACAGCTGTTTGCCCAGTGCCCAGACACCTGTGGGAGCAATTCTGGGGCTCTTGTCACTACACGGGTATAACTGTGCTGCATGCTTTGGTTATTAACTCAGGAGGCTTTTGATATAACCTCGGTACAGGGCACAGAAAATACAATTTTTGTTTGCTTTGTATTTGCCTGATCAAAAACTAATTTCTTAAGTCATCACTTGGCTTTTAGAGGATTTAAGTCTTTTGTTCCTATTTTATTTGATATTCTTAAGCTTGCTTTTCTCTTATTTGTTCTCCCTTTCCTTTCTAAGGCATCCCTAAGGAGAGGGGAGATGTCTCTAGAGGGGCAGCCTGGAGACTTGTAAAGAGAATATGTAGAGAAATGGGCCAGTCAGTGGCCCAGCGTTAAAGCGTGACAGTCTGCCAGGCTGACTTAC